GGGCTGAAGAGTGACAATACTGCTTAACCAAGCTCTGTACAATCCACCGAGAGGCTGGCGTCTTCAGCACAGAACAACAGTAAACTGTAGTGTACTTACCTGTGTCTTTGCCGCTGATCCTTTTCTCAAAATCTGAAAAAACACGGAGGGGAACAATATTATGTTTAGTTACAATGCAAGATGTAAGCTACTGTACAGTATCTCAGTCAAATGGAAATCACACCAACAGAGGGTCTTCAAGAAAGGACAGCTCATTTCTGTCATCATTTTTACAAATCACATTTAGGATTTTTTAAAATAGTTTGATACAGCTGCCATTATCTCCAGATCAGTTTGGGGGAGGGAAGGGAAGTTTATGGACCTCTTTTCCACTAGCCACTGGTAGGTACACCTCATCTGGGCCATCTAGCTAGGGAGCATGTAAAGATGGGTCTTCTTCTCCAGGTATGGCTCTACTAGGCCCATACTGTATCCAAATCAGTCTCTTCTAACACCTCAGACCTCACTGAAACCATCAGTTACTCATCATGACTGCAATCAGACATTTCTAGCATCCATTTCTCACTCAATACAATGCGACATTCTAATTTGCATACAGTTTCCACCCACCAGTCTATCCAGTATATCTTATTATATACTGACTACCAACACCACCAGAGATTTTAGTTTAGTAACATGTTTCAGGCCCAAAACTAAACAAAGGTTGAAACAGATTGATAAAAGAAATCTAAATGAGCTCCAATCAGAAAACACAAACTAAAACTAAAAGCAACTAAACCAAAAAAAAGTTCAATTGATTTACTTCCATGCTTTCAGCCATTTGTATTGTATTTGTATTTAAAATACCAATATCAATGACTAAAATGTAGAATTGTTAAATTTGAAAAGAAAGGCTTCATGACAGCAGCTTGAAATACACAGAACATGAAGTAATAAAGCTAATTAAAACTGGAAAAAGAGACCAGCTGAACTTTGGACTAACTCTAATGACTAGAAAAACAATGTTTAGTCCAAAACAAAATGTTCGTGGGTGCGTATACAACACACGGTGGTCCTTCCTGAAAAGAAACATGTTTACAGGGATTAGTAAGCTTCTGCTTACTGGATCACGCTTGTAAAGGAAATTACTAACTAAATGTGGCTTGTTGTGAACAATAGTATTATTTATTTTTTAAGGCCTTTCTTGAAAGATCTGTAACTACTATCTATCTATTCCTACATTCAAAAACCTGAATTATGACAATTGTGATCCTTTATTTCTAAAACAGTAGCAAAACAAACTCACATGGGCTTCCAAAGTCACTCAGTCTCTCTGAATCTGAAAAAGGGGAATAGGAACAAACTTCAAGGATTGGATATGATACAAATGCGTGCAATATCTCTGCTGGATCACTGAAAAAGCAATCATCTCTACATGTTTTCCAGGATGTGGGAAGGGCACATAGAGTTTCCTTCAGACCTCTTGTCTGAAGACAAAGTTCAGAGAGATTATTTTTAAGCTTCCCAGATACCCTGATAAACAGCTTTCTATCTATCTTTCTATCTCCCATACTTTAATTTCACAAGAATCAGGAAATAACTTGTGCTGGCAAGTATCAGTTTACTTTGGCACAGAATGCAAAGGAGGTCCTTAAAGCTTTAGGGCTTTTGTTGTGTCAAAACAGAGCACAATCTGCTGTTCTGCATTTTAGTTCATACTGTACATGGTGTCATGTGTTTTCTTTCTTGTGGTTGTGCAAGTGGATAGCAACAAGCCTACAGTTCCTCTTTTTATGAACTTGTATGTGCACTTATTGTACATAATTTGAATTTCTTGCACTCTCTTTTGTATGTTTGCTTTGTTGGAATTTTTTTAAGGTGCTGTTACTGCTGTTATAGGGAACTGAGATCTTACCGAATATACGTTGTCATCCAGATTGTCAACAGACTCCTTGCATTTGCTCTTTTTCGGTTTGAAGATCTGCACGGCGCCTTGCGAAAGTATTCACCCCCTTCCAATGATGTCTTGTTTTGAAGGGGGTGAGTCCTTTTGCAAGGTGCCTGTATTTTTACAAGGGCATGTCCTTCACAACGATTTAATGTGCTAAAATGCTTTTTTAGTGACTAACGGGAAGAGAATGTCTTGTGGTTCTGTCCTACAACCACTACTGTAGGTCCAAGTATAGATCCGACTGATTCCCACACATTGCATCTTTTGAGAGAAGTTAATCTTCACACAGGAGGGACGATTAACACATGACCTCATTAGGGTCACAGATTCAGCGGGGTCGAGGGATGTGTGTGGCTGCAGAGTCTTAGAGGCAGCTCTTTATGCGTGAGATCTCCAACAGATCTCAGGGCTCTCTTACCTGCCACAGTGACCGCTACCGTGTTGATATTGATTTCCTTGCTGATGTACTGCACTTTGTAAACGCCCTGATGTGCTGGTGTGACTCTTTTCAGCACCAGGCATCCTTTCTTCAGTAAGAAGTCCTCAGGGACAAGAACCTCACTGTGGTTTAGCAGAGTTCGGGGGGGCTGATGTCCCCCCGGGGGGAAAAACAGCACCTTCACTGGCGTATCAGTGTAGAAGCGGATAATGAGGACAGCTCCAGTCTGCAGGGTGATGTGTTCTTTGTGATCTAGGAGGGGATTGCAAGGATGTATACATTTGTAGTCATTTGTTCTGTTAGCAAATACATACTGTACACAGATGCTTTACATAAAGGTGTAAACGTGATTGCAGCCATTGGAATAAAATTCTATCTTAAAACACCTGAGGATCATTTCTAAAGAAGCCGGTGGGAATAATTTATTCCACTGATTTTCAAAAACAGAACTCGAACAATAAAAACATTAATTTTAACATTCCTGGTAAAACTAATCTCAAATAGTTTAGCATCTGCATGGAGGGATGGAAATCATACTTTTTGTAGAGGCCAGCTTCCTTACCTTTTACTGTCAGTGACACATGGCTGAGGAGCACATTTCTCTCCCTGTGGAGCACTTCGAATTTCCCATGGTATTCTGGTGTTAAGCCATGTAACACCAGACCTTCCCCCTTAAAGGATATCGCATGGTTGTACTCATCGTGGCAGTCTGCTATTCCATTCTCTAGAGTACACAGTTCGAAAGAATCCCCGTTTCTAGAAGGATGGAACAGCATCACCACTTTCTCCCTCGTGTACACAGGGATAGTCAGACTGCCTCCAGCTGGCAGAGTATGGTGCTCTCTGTACTCTGAGAGAAAACAGGAAAGGCTCAGCGATCACCGGACATTTTCCAGCTGCTGCTGAAACATACAGAGTTCTGTCAATTGGGTTGATGTTCAGAATGATGATGGAAAGATCTCCGAATTTTCTCAGCATCTAAATCATCATCAAGTAAGCGCTCATTGTGCTTTATTCACATTTTCCACATTAGTCAAGAAAAACTCCCTTTGCCTCTCCTTTCCAAAACCGTTCAGCAACAATGTTTAAAAAGGTACAATTAAACCATGGAAGTGTTTTTCCAGTAGCTATAAAAATAAAACTACATGTATTTATTATTTATGTATTTACAAAGGTAAAAAAATCCAATCTGGTAATCTATTATAAGATGTAAAATTATTTAATTTTAAGTTCTAAATGTAAAGGCTGGCACAGTGACACAGTGGTTAACATTACTGGCTCAC